CAGCAGCACTTTCTGTTCAGATGAGCTGTTATTTTCATGTGTCAGGACTAGCCAGTTACTTGCAGCAGTAGCAGCACTGCTGTTCAGGGAATACTCACATCAAGGCTGGGAGGATGTAGGGGAATTGTAGGAGAGGGATTAAGAAGAATTTAAGGGGGCTGTCCAAAGGAGACACTGAACTTCTTAAACTGTGTATTCCGTAGGCTATGGCTCTCTGGGGATGATGACCAGTGTGCTGATCTGCCCTGACGGCAAGACTGTTGAAGCAGAAGCTGCTCATGGCACAGTTACTCGTCACTACCGCATGCACCAGAAAGGCCAAGAAACCTCCACTAACCCCATTGGTGAGATGCTTTTCACTGCCTTTCAGTGATCTCTACACATGAAAGAATGGGTTTGGAGTAGGAACATCTGCATTGTTTCTGCAGAGTTGCACCATTGAGTGGTGAAACTGGTAGTTTGTAATGCATTTTTCTTCCATGGAGACAACTGCAGCCTGGAACAATAAGCTAGACCTAACCTAGCCTTTGAGACATGCTCTCGCTCTTCAGCAAACAATGGGTTTATAGCTGCAGTGGCCTTAAGGTTAGGTTGGTTGTTTTTTATTTTACTCCCCTTCCTGATGCTCCAAAAGTACCATCCAAACCATGTACCTACTTAAAGTATAAGTGCACCTAGAACGGGACATGAGGGAAAGAATCCTCTACAATTGCACAGGGCCTAGAGTGTAATGTAATACTGGGAAGAGGACTGCACCCTTCTATCATAAGCACAACTTTCTGTGTAACCAGAGTCCTACCACCAGTCATTCTTTCTGACTTGGGCAGGAATAAAATAAGATAAAATGGTATGCACAAAGAGATTGCTGTAGGCAGTGAGTAGTTTCTGGGGTTTGCTTTTCTTTAGAGCCGCACAAAATGCAAAGGACGCCTAGATGAAGATAAGTGTTCTTTTTCCCATTCCAGATTTTTTATCTTTTTTTTTCCTGTCTTTTCAGTTTTATTAATATTAAAAAAAAATTACTGTTCCACATGATAGTTTAGAACAATGTCCAAGGAGTTCTAGAAGGACAAAGTAATCTAGTGTTCTCTCTCAGCCTCCATCTTTGCATGGACAAGAGGACTAGCTCACAGAGCTAAGCTGGACAACAACGCTAGCCTCAAGAACTTTGCAGTTGCCCTGGAAGAAGTCTGCATTGAGACCATCGAATCTGGGTTCATGACAAAGGACCTTGCTGCCTGTATCAAAGGCCTACCCAAGTAAGTGTATGAAGTAATCAGCTGTGCTTGGAGGAGGCTCTTTTACTTGGTGTTTCTGAACAGCATTTGCTGGAAAGTTATTTTAGTATGGTAAAGAATTGCTGGAGTCTGGTCACAAAACAGGGCTTGTGTACCCAGTGCTGTACAAACAGAACACGAGACACTCCCTGCCCCAAGTAGCTTAGTCTAGGTTGCTCTGTCCCTGCTATTGTACCAAATGCATGGGGGGAAAAATAAAGAAGGAACTGCAAAGATTTCTCTTGTGACAGGCTGGCTACATTGGCCAGATCCCACCCTGTCCATTTGTTAGGACGGAGACCTACCTCACTGCAAAATGCCACCTGGCTAACTCTTTTTTACAGCTAATGTCTGTCTTGCTTTGTTTCCCCCTCTCAGTGTCACACGCTCTGACTACCTGAACACGTTTGAGTTCATGGACAAGCTTGCTGAAAACTTGAAGGGGAAGCTGGCCTCTCTGCCCAAACTTTAAGGCACAGGTTCTACTCAAGTTCCACTAATAAAGTGTCTCCCACTTACACCGGAATGTAAGTGGCACTGGATCACGCTCTGTTGTGTAACATTTCAAATACTAGACAAAAATGAATGCATACACTTTTTTAAATGTTTAAAAGACCATGTTTTCTTAAACTCCTTGAGCTGCTGGGCTAGGCCTTACTTCTGCTAAGCAGCTGAATGTGATAGTATGCAAGCTCAATGTGGGTCTGGATTCCTAATATCATTCACAGCAGACCTGAAGTTTCTCCCTGTGACTTTATGATCTGTGTTTCTTTTCTCTCTTCCTCTCAGACTGAAAGCCAGTCTGTGTCACAGCTCTGGTCAAACCAGTGGTGACTTACTGTCCAACAGACCTTAAAAATCAGAACCGTCCTCATCTCTCCAGTACTGTCCCCTGAGTATAAGTGAGCTCACAGCTCTACTGCAGCCCCTCCTTACTTAATTTATCTTTTAGTGCCAACCAGAGCACAGTATCCTGATACTAAGTGATTCGGTCCCATTGCTACAGTCAGGACTGTAGCATTTGAGAAGCAGCACTTAATAAATGCTGGAAACAAGCCCTATAGGCTAAGAGCCTAATAAAGCCATGCTGTAGTATCTGAATGCAGGCCATGCATTTAGTTATACTCCTTCTGACTGGATGTGAAGCATAGGAACTGTTACCTCTTCTCCTACCCCACAACTCATAAAGGTGCAAAACTTTTCTCCAGTTGTCTGGGCTATTCCTTCCCCTTCCTGTTGTGATACAGTAAGTCAGATTATGACTGTGAAAAAACTATTCCATCCATCTTTTGTGAATTTTAAAGAATATTTTAGTTCAAAATAAAATAAAAGCCAACTAACATTCTTTGTGTCTCTCCTTCCTTTGTGTGATTAGCAAATACGGGGAAACTGCCTGAGAGAGACTCCAGTACCTTTCAGCACAGTCCAGTACATGCTGGGACAGACTGTTGGAATGTAATATAAACACAAAATAATCTCTCCCTTCTTAGAGCAGAATTTTAATTTGTCCTGGCCCATGGCAAGAGGTCATCTGTAGTGTGGTGGTAAGCATCAGGTAGTGCACAAGAATTTTAAAGTACCACTTTCATTGAAATTTTATTTTGGGACTAATATATACTCGAACTGATACACCACCACTCAACAAAGATCAGAAGCTGGTTGTACATGAGCGAAACTCTCACCATGCAGCTAACTAGCTATAAGTGTTGGTTAGGATAGAAATGCAATGTTAGACTAGATCAGCTAGTATTAACATGTGTTTTGGGATGAGCATGTGTTTGAAACGCAGCTCTACAACTGCTAGCAGCTGTCACTGTGCCTTCAATATGAATGAACACAATAGTCTGCTGTTCTGTTACTAACACAAGCATGTAAGAAGTACAGCTGGAAAAAGTCCCATTGCTGACCCAGTGAAGCAATGGAAACAGCCATCAGGAACATCTGGAGATCTATGTTCCTGCCTGGTGTCCAACATCAGTAGTTCAAATTACTGCGTCACGTTAGGGCAGGTCATACTACAACAGCACCTCTTAAAAAATTCCCTGTTTAGTGGCTCCTACCCAGCTTCCAGAGTTACAGAGTACCAGAGAAAGCTTAGTACCTTTCAGGAAACTGGACAAATAAATAAAGGTAATTTTAAAATCTTACACTCTTTGGTAGGTTTAATGACTTAACAGTACAGCTTAAGTTTAAGCAATGTAGTAGCATTTACCTGACTGCAGATGACACTATTTTCTCTCTGTACTAACAAAGTTTCCATCTTCTGGAGGACTCTGCAGAGTACAGCAAGACCCGATCTATCCTCATGAACTGATGGATGTTGCTGAAGTGCTGAGGAGAGAAAGGAGCACTTGTGTCTGTGTTGGGAGAAGAAGCAGTAAGTGTGGTCATAAGAACAGAGCATCTCCCTACCTGCTCTGCCACAGAGAAAGAGGAAACATTTGTCCTGCTTGCAAGGAGGCACATTCTCTCTTCCTCTTTACTACTGATACAATCACTTCTCTTCCCCACCACTCCCCCAAACATCAATAACCTTCAAAGTTAATACACCAGTAGACCCTAGAAAAGCAAGGGCTGAAGGCCAGTGGGCACTCAGTCTGCAATGGAAAAGAGCACAGGATTTACTGAAACGCAACTGTCTGCTTCAGTATACCAGCTGCTTCACAGAGCTCTTGGACAGGGCCCTTGTAGCTCCCACCACCAGCAGTAGCCCTTTGCACCAACACTCCCATCAGCAGACGCCAGCAAATGTTGTCTTTGATCAAAGCATAGCCTAGCTTACCTTTAGTGCTGACACTGATGTAGGGTAGATGTGTGCATCTGTGTCCTGGGTATTGGATGCTCGGGACTGGTGGAAGGCTCAGTTTTCAACTCCATAGTTATGCAAATCCCCACTGACAGCAAATACAGTGAGAGGGGATGTATCAGTTATCTGACATGGCTCCCATCCAGAACAGCAGAGCTCTGACTTCTAGGGCTGTCCAAGGCTTCAGTAGTCAATCCTAAATGTGACTTCCCAGTGGACTGCTCTACCTGTACTGAAGCCACCTCTTACTGGAGGTAACGCTAGGAAGTATATGTCAGCATGCCTCTTCTGCTTGCTGTTAAAGCCTGGGCTGCTGCAATCCTTACCCACAAGGGCAGCTGAAAGGGTGTGAATCTGCAATACTGGAAGATCAGCCCTCCAAGGTGTGCTCTGCCCAGGCTTGCCCAGGGCCAGGAGAGAACTGGCAGAGCGAGCTAGCGGTCTGTGGTGCCACAAGCACTTGTGCACAAAGACTGCAGACAAGTACCCCAGCATTTAAAGATTGATAGGACAGGGAATAAGGGTAACAAACTTTTATAATGTCCACAAAGACTTTATTTATACTTTAAAATTAAAATAAAAAATAAGCTGTGCAAAACATTAGAGAGATTCTAGCAAAGACGCACAAGTCCCCAGGGACTTCGGGGCTGCCTGTTCAACCACTATTTTACTTCTGGCTCCATGTCTCTTCCCGTTGTTATTAGCTTGCCTGCCTTGGCATTGGGACATCCTTCAGGAAGCCATTCTTTTCCCTCTTTAATCTTCTTGGTCATTTCCTTGGCTTTGGCAGTTTTGGGTTTTTTGGTTCTGCAGAGAGGGATATGGAGGAACTCTGTGTCTGTAAATGGGTCACCTTGCCTCAGTTTCCTGCACAACCAAAAGAGTTAGATTGAACCTTCAAGGTACTTCTTGAATATGTGTATAATTTCAATCTCTGAAGTTTCTGATTTTACTGAAATGCTTCCACTATAAGATGACTGACTGGTACAGTTCATTCCTTGTCCAGTACAGAACAGCTGTACCAGTACAGAGAAACTTCTGGCCCCATATAACCCACTCCTCACAGAAAGTTCAAGCTGTGACACTTTACAGAGGGGAAAAAAAAAAAAAAAAAAAAAAAATAGTATGACCCAGTAGCATAACAACAAAGTCATCATTTTAGGAGTTAAATGGTTCTGTACAGTAGCCTTGGATGTACCAAATCTACAGTTTCTTAGGGAAAAGATGCAACAACTTGTTTACATACTTGTATCTGCTGGAAAAAGCAAATATAAATACAGCCTGCTCACGGGGGAGAAACCTCCTCAAAACCTAGCATTTCCTTCACTGAAATCAAATTAAAATGGAAGCACTACTCAGTCACTGTATAAAACTTTAGATATCACAGAATGGCAGCAAGTGAAATCAGGGCTTTCACTTATCTGTCTTTATTTAGCCTGTATTTTATCCTCATGCTAATCCCTCATTAGCACTGGAATACCAGAGGCGCTGTCTGCTAAGAGACATGCTCATTTCAGGGAGGGAAACAACATCTTCAGTAGCTTGTTACCAGAAGTCTGCACATGCATCTGCGCTAATGCAGAATTTTGGGTTAACCACACTGTAGCAGAAGAGGAAGGTCACAGAAATGCTAAGAGTTAAGAGGAACTTACAAAGTGACAGAGGGTCTAGCTCTGAAGAGTGAGCACATGAGAACAAAGCAGGAGTTGCAGCATGAGAACTGTCATGGGAAGGAATAGTTTAAAGCCCAACCTGTTGAGTTTTGGCTCTGCATAGCAGCCTGGGTCCCGTCTCCGCCTGGATAGGCACCCTGACACTTCTTCTGAGCTGAAAGAATTCAGAGTCCTGGCATTGGTCAAGTCCTGTAGTGGCCTGATCTCTGCAAAGGGAGACATTCACACAAAAGTTGATCAAAGTGTTTCCAAATCATTTCCAGATATCCTAAGAAATACAGCTGCCAAACAGAGAAGGGCTGCATTACCCAGTTTCTCTGAACACTGCACAATCCTGAATCCAATCACATTCCCTGTAAACTCAGGAGACCATTTTCGTCCAAAAATCCCAGACCTGCTCCTCAGAAGTCAGCTCATGAATCTAATTAGGTTTCTCACTGAAAAAGTACAGGTCACTAATACCGCTAGTATCATTGGGCCCTGATGTAGTAGAAAAGTGATACAAAAATGATACTTGATCGTTCTAACACCCAGGGGCTTGCAGCCTGGAGGAGAAAGCAAGCTTACAGCACCCAAACAACCTACAGGACTTCCAGCAAGACACAGGAAGTGTTTACACTGTTAGTGTTTACTGCAGCTTTCAAAGTGAAGCTGGCCAAGAGGGAGAGGGCAGGAGAACAAAATTCCTCCCTCTCCACGAAGTACAGCCCACTCTAGCTGTAACAGGCCTGTTTGTCAACAGCTACAGGAAGGAAAAAAACCCACAAAACAACAAAATTATAGTTTTCAACTGCTTCAGTAATTGATTTTCTAAATTGATGGGCATGCTCTGTAGATAACAAGAGTGGTAAAACAAGACCCACAGCCCATGCTCCTAATCTTTTCCCAATATCCATCAGTGTCCATACACCATTTATGCTTCCACTTGTGCTGGCCAGTCATTTCCGTTGCTGCATTTGCTTCTAGGGAGAGAGTAGAGGAAGAAAGATATAAGCACTTGCTGCATGGATTTTTGGCACTCATCTCCAAACACAGGTCCCCTCCCCAGTCTACCACCTACCAGGTTGCTGTGAAGATGAGCTCCAAGAACTTGACTCAACCTGGTTCCTTTCCCCAGCTATTTCCTCTACAGTCTTTTCTTCAAATATCAGGGAGCTTTCTGACCAAACAGAGGATTTCTCTGGCATTATGTTGCCCTCAATACTTAAGCTCTTGGAGACTGGTACAACTGTAAGTCTGGAGCTGTCAGGTAAAGCTGCAGAACAGGTCACAGAGGAGGAGTCAAGACTGTGTGAAAGGTCCATAAGATTATTTGTAAGTGATATCTCAGCTATCTGCTCCACCACGAAGGCATCTGGCCCAGACAGCAGATCTGTAATGTAAGAAAACTTTCCCGTTGGGACAGTTTGCTTGGATGCAAGTTCCGATGAACTTCCAATGAGTGCTTTGGCATTATCACTTTGTCCAGACAGGGAATCAGTCTCTGAAGGTCTAGAAGTGTTCCTCTTCCTCCGAGGCTTCCGTTTGGGATAGGCCTCTTTTTTCAAAACATTCATGTTGTCAACTTTGGTTTGCCCTATTTCTTGAAGGCCCCCTGTCTGTTTTTTATTGCTCTGAGCAGCTATCATCCTCTGAACTCTGGGGATTTTGCTAGCTTTGCTCCCAGGAACAGACCTGGGAGGTACAATTTTACTCCCTTCAAAATCTATCTGGACACAACCCAAGTTTTCTGCAAGATCCAAAGGACGGACAATGTAAGTTTTCCTGCTACATTTAAGATTACCTGTCAAATCCTTTGTGCTCTCCTGAGCTACTCCTTGAACATCTACACATGACCCAAAACCATCAAGTTCATTTCTCTGATCACTACAACTACTTTTCCTGACAGTCTTCTTCCTGCTTGTCTGGCTTCTTTTAGGCTGTTCTTCAGCTTTGGCCTCTGGTATTTTCACACTGTTTGGCAGATTCTCCTCAGAGTCATTTCTTTGCCTAATTACTCTAGTTTTTCTGTTGGTTTTCTGTCTGATGCTCTTTGTGCTCACACTTAAGTCCTCTTGCAAAGCATAGGCACTTGAATTTTGTAGACTGGAAACATCTGAGGGAACTTCATGACTTGAGAAGGTATGAACTGGGCTTTTTGACAAGCTTTCCATACTTTGGATCTCAAAGACAGCTTCCTTCTTAACCTGTTGTGGTAAGTCACCACTTCCAAGACTGTGCAGCTGTGCTGGATTCATGACATATGTTCTTCTGAGATCTCGGACTTCATCAGGAGAGCAGGA